CACCATGCTCTGTAGAAGACATTGACTTTTTAGACCTGAAGAGCACTGTCATCTTTGATGTACAGTCTATAGGTGAACGCCAACATTGTCATAGAAAATGCAGATCATGAGTAATTTAGCTAGTTTAAAACATGCATACAAGATGTTTGTTTTTTTTTTCCTTTCACAGTGGATGTGATGTCACTGAGATAGCCTGAAAGATTTTCTGTCACTCTGCTCCACAGGAAAAACAGCTGGCCTGTAAGCGATATGGAGAGTTGCAAGAGGAACTGAGTGGGATGAAGGGCCGAAATGAGCGAGAGATTCAGAGTCTAAAGGAGCACTTGAAGCTGGCTATGGCTGCTCTGCAGGAGGGGCAAAAGCTGGGGAACAGCCTGGACCACTGAGAGAATACTTCTGGTACTAAAGCTCTGTCAGACATAGTGACCAGTGCGGACTGATATGGAACAGATGTTTTCTCGTTTGTTTGTTGTTTAGGAGAACGAAAGGATGGTTACTGTTTTTGCTGGACAGTCCCTGCTGTGTGGAGACTTTGATAATGCCTTAAATTTTAATCACTCTGCCAATAAGAGCACAGGAGAGAAGTTTGCCTTCGTTGCTTTCTATTGTGTGGTTATAGTTGTGAAAGAGCGTATTTAAACCTGAAGTATGACCTTTTTCCAAGTAGTTTTGTTCCTTGATGTAACCAAGTACTTTCAATGCATAAAACTGTGACTCAAATCTGAAAACAATATTTAAAAACTAAACAAAATCTGCAGTAAAATCACATCTGGCTTTGAAGCCCAGTCTCCTGGGGAAAAACCGTGTTTCATCTATCAGTTTAGTACAACCTGCTACCTCTTTGGACGTTGTTACTGCTTAAACCATGTCACCAGGCTTCATAAAGGTCAGAAAGCTTTGAAGGCAACCTTCTCTCTCTAGCTTAATGAGCAGCATAGAGTAGCCATTAGCTGGTTACGTTACACTGGGCCATATATAATGTACAAAATTGCACTTTTAATTTTTTTTTTTTTAAGTTTGGCTTTTGTTGGTTTTGAGTGGAAGCGGTGTGTATGAGTGCACACTTGGTCTGAAAACTGGAAAGCTTTATTGAGTATCTTTTTTTGTTGTTGTTGTTGTTTTTAAATGTGGTATTGTAGATAAAGACTTCATACTGTATGAGCTTTTTCTTTTTTAATTTTTGGATGAATAAACTTCTCATTGGCCCTATGTGCTGCCTGAGACGGCAAAGGTCGGAAGAGCTGCTGTCATCTCAGTTTTCTGTATTACAGCTTTTTTGAGGCATGTTTACTTTGTGAAAATGGCACACAGTACTTAAACGTATTTGCTGTATTTTTTTTTTTCTTTTGAACTGGGAAACTTGCTGATGTTCTGTCGGGTTTGAGAATATAAAATTCAAAAATCTCTATTGGGATGAAAACAGGACAAAACAGCAAAAAATGTTTAATTCCTTGGCGGTTTAAGGGGGGTGGGGCTGGATTGGAAGTTGATCTGTGATCGTACAGAAGCAGATTCAGCTCAGCTTTCTTTGGTTGCTTTTAAAGGCTGTTGAATGAATGTTGTCCCGTATCACAGATGTCCTCAGTTTTAAGCCATGGCTGAGAACTCTCAAGCCTCCAGTCTCTCCTGATCATTATTGGCATACTGTGTGCCACCATCACAGCAAATGACAGGTGTTGCATCAATGAGCCAGTTTTTTTGTATTGACGGTATGTATTGCGATAAAAAGAATTATCTAACTTTTAAAAACGTGTTCATATTTAATGTACAGTAGAGCCTTTGTCATCTTTGTAAATAAACATTTTTGCAATCAATAAAAGACGTTCAACAGCACATAATGTACGTTTCATTTCTGCGATATTGTATCCGCCCAAAACCTGCAGACGTTTGTGTTTTTCAGTTCTGTGCTTAATCTAATGTAAGGATACGTTTCATAAAAAAAAAAAAACCCTGCATGGTGTTGGAGATGTGAGTACAGGTCCCACTAAAGGCTGTCAGGCCTTCATGCCACCCTCACAGAATCTATTTCTCACAATTTGGTCAGAAATATGGACACAAGTTGTCAGCTGTAGGTCACTTTATAGAGCAGTGGTAGTCGTCCTGATGCTGGTGTGATGCCCTTCTTTGAGCATCACACCAGTAGCAGGCCTGGTCCTGGTTCTTGGGCCTAATATCTTGCATGAGAACTGAACAATCTTCTCGGATGAGAGGTGAAATGTCTTCAAGCAACTTAAAGAAGTCCAGACGCTTTTCTTTCCAATTCTCCTTAGACTAACTAATATCTCCTTCATGTCCCATCATCAATGAAATGGACTCTCTGGACTGCAGGTCTCATATCATAATGCTAGCATGAGAAAAATCAGTTGGGTTTTTTTTTTTGTTTTGTTTTGGGGTTTTTTTGGGGGGGGCACACAGCAAGAGTCTCTGGGAAGGACCTGTAAAACAATCTTTTAGGAGGTTGTCCAGTTTGACCTGTTGTTACTTTTCTTTCCACCAGAGCAGGTGAAACGGATCCACAGTGGTTTCTGCTTCTTAACTGGACAGGTTGATATCCCTGAAGTTCAACAAATGTTGTGTTATTCTGTAATGAAGCGTTCCCTTCATTTTGTGAGCGATGTCTTGAACCAGCCGTACCTCTAGGTGGCAGCAGAGCGCTTTCAGCACTAATTTAATGAAACCGGAAAATAGCAACAGTAGCAGTTATGGCGTCCACAGCGGCGACCCGGACGGCAGCTGGTGCTGCTAAAGTCGTTAAACCGATTTTTAGCCGTGATTTGGACGAGGCTAAGCGCCGAGTCCGGGAGTTATACCGAGCATGGTACCGGGAGGTCCCCAACACAGGTACGTGTGCTCCCTGTAGCGGGTAAACTGTGTGGAAGAAGCGAGGCGAGCGTCAAGGTCGCGTCTATGGAGCGGTGCAGAATAATTAACATTAGCTGCTAGCACAGAGGATCCTGAATATGACAATGTTTTAAAGACTCTCTCCTCTCTTGTGTCAGATAGAGATGGTAATGTTTCCGTTTAATCTAAACTGTAAAGGGAAGTTCATGACTTCAAAGCAACCTTTAGATACTGACTCTAGCTAGCGTTCATTTTGGCTCCAGGCAGATCATGAGGCTGCATCGAAGATTATGTACTCTGTACTTTATGTCCACACATTTTAACTTAAAATCATACAAACAAATAAAGAATCGATTAAAAAAAGAAAAGAGGTGCATATATTCGTGTTACGTTGTTGTGTGGGTTCATGCTTACAGAAGACCTGTTACTTTATTGAATATAATATGTAAAGCAGCTTCGTAACACCCGTAGTTAGCAAGAATTCCATGTTCAGCATTCACTTTGTTTTGGCTCCTAGCAGGTGGTTACTTACACGGTTACCCATCAGATCCTTTAAGAGGTTTATTTAAGGTGTACATCTAAGGGGTACATTAAATCTTCGGATTTTTAAAAGAACAATTTTCCTATATCCATATGCGGTGTAAAAATGTGAAACAGTACAAGTTTGGAATTAAATATATATATTGTTTTATGTGCAGACTAGTACATAGTTAATTATGTATATTGTCTGATTACATGTTATATCGAGGAACACTGATGAGTAAATTATTAAATAGCATTAAGGGAGTAGGATTAAATAAATGTGTACTTTAGACCTTTTCGAACATGTGAATTGTTCGCTGTATAGATTTATTCCTTGCACCGTGATTTTTTTTTCCTTTCTGTTCAGTGCATTTTGTTATTACGATATTATTACTATTTACCTCTTCAAAATCAATCAATTACAAACTGACAGTGATTTCCTTATGTTTAAGACACAAATGCTGATGGGACATCTGATCTGATGTAGCAAAACAAATATGGCATAATGATGATGATGAGTGGCAACTTTGCAAAAACAAAAACAGTAGGACAATTTTATTTCAAATAGCCGCTGTAGATTGATTTAATTCATGCAGCTGTAATAGTAACATTTAGGAATGATGTCCTGGATAAAGTGTGTGTAGCAGAACCAAAATGGCTCTCCGTTTGTGTCTGTTCCTCTGCAGTCGCAATGTTTCAGCTCGACATCACAACACGCCAAGGAAGAGACAAAGTTAGGGAGATGTTTGACAAGAACAAGCACATCACCGACCCCCGTGTGATCGACATGTTGGTCATTAAGGTAAAAGCAGCACATGTGACAAGAAACAGTAAATATGATTTTTCTCAAGGCGGTGTCTCTTAGGGCTCCGAGTGCTGATTAAATCTAACTTAGAGCCACACTGACTTGTTTACTTCACGGTGTGTTGAGGTATTCTCCGTTTTTCGTGTGTGTGTGCTATTTAAAGGGGAAAATGGAACTTCAGGAAACGATCCACGTCTGGAAGCAGAAGACCCACATAATGCGCTATTTCTACGAGTCTGAAGAACCTCGCCCCACCGACTTCCTGTCCAAATTCTACCGGGGACACGACCAATGAACTGTACAGCTCTCGGCCTGCCCTGTGACCTGTTTTTTGGTTGTGTCCAATTTGACAGCTGTTTCTCTTTATTGTAAATATACACTTAACAATCACCTATCTATAGTCCAGTCTCTTTTTATTATTGATATTGTCAGTTGGATCAATTAAAGCCATCAGCACACCATGACTGAACGTGCAGATGCTGTTGTGAGCGGGTTGTTTCAAACAACATAAAGCTTTTTCACTGCAGACAGTAGGAAAAGCATGTGAGAGCTGAATCTTCATTATTATTATTGATTCCATCAGTTTTGTTTTTTTTTTCCCCTGCTGCTATGAAAAGCTTTCATCTTGTATTTGGAAAATTGACATTTCCAGACCAAAACTGAGCCGAAAGCTCTAACAGTAAGAGGGACAAATAACATTTTACAGTCTGGATTTTGTCCTCCTTAAGAAGGTATAATCCATAAAACTGGACATGAAACAGCTCCTGGGAATAACTTAACAGCTTTGTTCCAAACAAGTTTCATATTTCATGCAATGAAGTGTTTTAAACAGTTGATAGAAAATTAAATTTTATTGAAATCATTGTGTTCTGGTATCGATGTGTAAGATGTGAGTAGTGAATGACAAATACAGTACAATACGATCAGCCCGGGGCAGCAAAAACCCTGAATCTAGTGCACAAAGACGCAACTCCGGCAAGGTGTTAATCTGCTGAGATGCTCACTGACGCTGGGCGGTGGTCATCGTCACACAATACACAATCTGTGAGGGGCAGAAAAAGTGTGTTGATTTATTTTTACACTATAAAGGCCTGTAAACGGTTACATCTTAATATGAGATGTTTAAAAACTGCTGCAAAAGCCTGAAGAAAAATAAAGCAGACAGAAGCATTCAAGCTGCTAATGTGAGCGTAATGTTTTTGTTATTACAGAGCTGAAGCTCTGAGCAGCAATCTTAAAGCCTGGTCAGGAACAGCAAAGGGGACCTATTGTACTGATTGGTGACCCCTCACAAAGATTGTAAAATGACTATGTATTGATTTTCCTTCTTTTTGACTCACATGGATTACTCAGTGTTTTTCATAAAAGCATCCATCGCTATTATAGTACACATTTATATGATAGAAAACAAAGAATCTTAATAGGTACCTTTTAATGAAGCATGTTATTTTTTTTTAATTGCAATGGTAACTCCCACATTTCAGTCTGTACTGAACAACACTGTACAACACAGACGGAGCAGGGAGCGTGCACTCTGCCACACGGTGACACCCACAGCGACAGCCTGCGATACCTGCTAACCTGAAGCTTTCCAGACCCCCTCAATCATCATCGTCGTCGTCCTCGGGGACGAAGATGTCGTGCTCCTCCAGGAGGGCGGCAAAGTTCTTGCTGATCTGCGTCCCCACATACAAGAAGGGTACCACTATCAGGGCGATCCGGATAAGGCCGAAGGGGGTCTGCTCCCCGGTGCCACACACCCCACCACAGAAACAACAACGTTATTTAACGGCGCTCGTGAGACTACACCTTCCGAGGATCTGATTTCGTAACACTGCGTGCAAATGAGACTCACCTTTCTGGGTTTGGGGAGCATAGCACCGGACGACGAGCACACGGCCGTCCGGCACGCTGTCACGGTGTTCCCCGGTACACTGGAGGGGGTCAGCGGGGATCTGCGGGGGGGTCTGAGGATAGACAGCCTGACGAGGCGACCGAGGGCCGACGCCATGTTTACAGCGTTTGACGATGCAGCGGCAATGCGGAAAACGAACCGGAGATGAATTGTGATGTGCAAGAAGAGGGCGGAAACAGCGCCCCCCTGTGGTGATTCAACAGCACCGCGTTTTTGTTTTTATTTTCCCGACTGCATTTCCCAAAGTTGAAATAAAACACGGAGGCTATACATTGCGCTTTACTTTGTCTTGCAGCTTACATTTAAATATCATAATCCTTAGCAAACAGCGGTTCATTCATCTTAAAAAGTTCAGACGGCAAAAAGGCAAATCAATAAATTACTGTACAGCATTAAATATTTACAGAATTCTTATACTAACTAAAACATCAAGGAGCAGAAGAACAGTAATCATGACAAAATGCATTGAAATAGTGGACCGTACCACACAGTAGATACTGGAATTACGAGAGATGCATGCTAGACATGCACCGTTCAAGTGTTAAGTTACTCCGCTGTTGTCAAGTGAAGAAACAACCAGGTAAAGATCAGACTTCCTAAATGTGACTTAAATTATTTAAAGAAAGTTTCAATTTAAAAAAACAAAACAAAAACAGATGTCTTTCTCAAGTACCAGAAATGAAATTTGACTTTTGTTTGAATCAAACGTGATGTAAACAGCTTCGTGGATGAACTGCCATCATCGCCCCGGTGCAGAGTCATCCGCAGCTTTTCGTCCCTTTCATCCTTACTCAAGTCCTTGTGGCTGTACCGCGTACTTGTGAGGCAGGGTCGTGGTAGCAGAGCTGGCTCCTCACTACAGAGTTGAGAGAGATTCACTCGTCAAAATTAGCGACACTCCAGATCTGACTGTCCGCACCCTGCGATTCCCTTTCTCACCTGATGTCTGAAGGTCAGATGTCTGAAGAACTTGCTGACCTCACCGGGTTTAAGGGCTCCCGCGGTCTTGCTGCCATCTCCTATCCACACAGTTTGCCCTTTGGTGATAGCAGCTCTCAGGCTCACACACTTGACTATGTAAGTGCTGGGGACAGAGTTGGGCATGGTACTGGAGGACACTGTGATGTAGGATGCGTCTTTCTGATGGTCTTGGTAGCGCACTATCAGTGAGGAAGAGTGGTCATTCATTAAAAAAAGTACAGAGTACAGTACAGAGAGAGGCTCTGTTCTATGTTTCTTTTTAAAGGCACGGTGGCGATTACCTGCAGATGTGACTGCTGTGTCTGTGGTACTGGCGAGCTCCAGCAGGACTGTGGGATATGTAGGATGGAGCATGTAGAGCTTTCGAATGAGAGGCTCTGCCACAGCAACACCTGGCGACACCTATAAACAGCCGGAGAGCACATTTAGCACAAAAGACTCCTTAACAGAGTCGAGCACAATGGAGTAAAATGATCTTGTGCACCGGAGTCACAGAGGGCTCCTCTTCCTGGGTTCTCATTAACCTAGCAATTCTATCTGAGGAAGACTTACGGTTGTCTTGGTAACATTCTTCTGTGCTTTGATTGGATCGCTGGCCCAGAACAGGAAAGCGGATTGGCCCGTGGACGTGGAGATTGCAGAAGTTTCTAAACGAAGATGGGGACACACGAACTCGGCGGCCCACAAACGGGTCCCATTCGCCCCATCGATGATTAATGTCTGAAAGACAAAGAAGAGGAGGAAAAACCACCAGTAAGATCGGAGCAGATGTTACATGTCAGCAAAGTAATTTCAGCCCTGAGGGGGAAAAAAGCATGAAAGAACCTTTGGTTTGTTTGTTTTACCTTCATGACTCCGTTTGATGAATGCTGAATGAAAAGATCGAGGATTCCATCGCTATTGAAGTGTCCTGCAACTGGTTGACTGTGACATACAAATAAGTATTTTAGGAACCCGTATTTTTCTAGTTTTCCAAAGGATGGGACAGATGTTTTGGTGGAATGTGATTTTTTTTTAAAAAACAACAACATGCAGCTAAAATGAAGTCAGGGAAACCATATCTGACTGAGTGCTCTTCTCTCTAATGATTTTGCATTAATCACACGATTACCACACAGAAAGTTGCTAAAACAACAGTTACATGAACTATTGAAAACTTCAGACCACCTCATGGCAATAGTAAGGCGCCCCTCGCCAAAATATAATTTTCAAGCACATCAGTTTGTTCAAACCTCACCACCCTCAAGTGGTTGCTGCAGGGGGGAAAAAATAAACAGGACTGTACCTTTGACTGGAAGCTGTTTTGTAGGTCCATTTCTTTCGCAAATTCCTCTGCCGGAGCAGTAACTGTACGCTGCCTCCATACACCAGCACCCAGTCACTTCTGGTGGAGTTCAGGTTCGAAGCGGTGTCCAGGTTGTTGTGGTTTCTTCCAAAACCAGCCACAAGAGGGAGCAGGAACCTGGCCTGGTCATGGTCACGTGGGCTAGAAAGGACACAACAAAGATCTGATTTTGACTTATTTTAGACAAAAACATATATCTAGTAATCTGCTTTCTACTTTAGTGCCAGCTGGTTAAATGTATTTGGTATTTAACAAACAAAGAAGAGTTTGCACATTGAAAACAGATCTATGCATCAGTAGCAGACACCCACCTGTAAATTTGTATGATGGAAGAGAAATTGTCCTTCTTCATGCCCTCCCACCCTGAATCCTTCTTTCGAAGCGCCTGAGTTTCGGGCAGTTTTCCAGTAGCCTGAAAGTAGATGTCTCGCAGGGAGACGGCCTTCACATTACCTAAGGGAACACACGATGACACAAGGTCCTGTGAAACCACCATTAAAATAACTTCAAGGGTCACTTCAATAGTTCTTAAATGAGCTCCTCAGAATCAGTTGTTGTTGTTCAATAACTTTAGTATATTTAATGAAAATATGCTTAATTTTATCTGATTATTTTCCCAGTTAGAAAGCTGTGAATGTCCTTCAAGAAGCCCGGAGAACTATTCCTGACGACTACTTAATGAAATCATAAGAAATCTGCCTAAGATAGATCAGGCTGTGTTGTAGAATAAAGGTGGTCATACCAAATTTTGACTTTCAAGCTGGTTAGAAAACTGTTTGCCTAATACAGGATTTCCGTGTGTTTGCACCTGTTTCCCATTTTGCTAGAAAAATATTATAATATGTGTCGTTATAATCAAAACTCTTGCAATATGAGCACACAGAAAAGCTCATGGGGTGATTCTTTTTGGAGCAATCTTTAAGTATTTAAGCAGTTAACCTCATGGTAGTGAATCTAAAAGGAGGAATGAAAGAATAGGAAAGAAAAATATTCCGCTCTTCTCCCCTCTGCTCTTCTTCCCTTTTCTGGGAGGCAGTGGGGAGGTAGAGCGTACAGCTCGATCCGGCGGAGAAGTGTTGGAAGCCAGATCGGGTCCCCCCTTCATCGCAAGGGGGGCGCCCGATCTGCCTTTCGTTGAGGCACACAACAATGTGTGCCGCTAGTAAAGTTTCTGAGCTGCTTTTCCTCATAACAGCCACCCCCCAAGATTTTCTCCATTTAAAGCAGTGCATTGTCAGGGATTGTAACATCTAGTCCTTTTACTGAAACGTCACCTAGACCAAACAGGATGTAGTATACTCCTTGTTGTGTCTCATATAGCCAGGGACCAATCAGCGTCCCTTGGGCTGTGACGTTGAAAGGCACAGCACGTCCGAGTAACGCTCCCGTCTCTCCAGAGATCAAAGTCAGAGAGAGATCGAATTTCTGAAAATACACAAAGCGGCAAAAAATAAATAAAAATACAAACAAACTGTAAATTCTTCAGCTCGTGATGATTGTTAAATGAATTCGAATGAATGAATTGTGCTTACGTGAACACTACAAAAAAAAAAAATGCTTTGCAAACTGTAACATGCATCAATATAGCACATGAAGAAATAAGGGAGGCTGGCATACGTCATCCGCTGGCAGGGTGGCTACAAGCAGATCTGGGTGTGAGTCGCCCTGGAGGTCTGGAAGTAACACTGCCTGAGATTCAATGCTCTTAATTGATGATGACCACAGCTTCTTTCCTGTGGAGGGAAAGGAAATATCTTTGAATGCTTAGAAATGAATACTTGCAGTTGATTAATTTTATTTACTTCTGCACAGCTGGGACAGCACTGAGTCCGACCTGTGGTGCCGTTGACAGCCATGATGTAGGATTTGCAGATGAGGAGGCACACGGGCGACGGCACGGTGCTGTACTGCAGACCACACTGGATGTACATCACAGCCTCTGACATGACTTTTTTCCACAGCACCTGGCCGCTGACGCCAGAAAGGGCCACTGCACTGTAAACTGGGATGAAGCGCATACACCATGTATAAATATCAGAGGTTACAGAGAGAGAAAGCACACAGAGTCATCTTCAATGACTTTTTGCTGCCAGTGGTAGTGGATCACTGCACAAATTGTATGGAATAATGAAGGACTACATCCAAATTCTTCAACATCACCTCAAATCAACAGCTAGACGGCTGAAACTCAAATGCAGTTCAGTGTTCCAAGAGGTCAATGATCCCAAACACACATCAAAACCAGTTTTGAAATGGATAAAACAGGTTAACATTAGGCTTCTGAACCTCAAATCTACTGTCGACTACACTTAAAAACCCGGGTCCATGGTTGGAAACCAACCAATTTAAAGGAACTCCACCAGTTCTGCAGAAGCCAATCAGAATGATGCCAGAAGCAAAATAAATATACACTTGTGCACACGTTTTTTTTTTTTTTAAGTAATTAAAGATGTGTGCTGCACAATTATTCCAGCCTGGAAAAAGAAGAGTTCAAAGAAACCACTGAAAGCCCAAAATTACCATGACACAAATGCTCATGATGAGTAAGTAAACGTCTGATCACAGCTGTGGATGGGTACCGGCATGAGCCTGCAAAGATATTTACATATCGCACATACTTTGTGTGGTGTGGGTCTCATTGGTCGATTCGGTAACACCCAAGAACACATCCTCCACTGAATCACCATCAACATCCCACAGTGCCAGCGCGGGTGGCGTGACACCTAAAAAGAAAAAAACATGAACACCACCCACTAACAGAAGCAATGTTTCATGTGTAAACAGAGCATGTGATGGGTAGAAAGATGTTTCACAAGCCTGTGTAATGACAGGTGGAAAATTACAGGGTTAGGCACTTTGTCTAGCCTCGACGACTCCTGAGTAAGCCTTATTATCGTGGCA